CAGATTAGTGCCATCCAAGGAGGGAGAAAGACTGACAATTTTATTCCCAAGATGCTCAGGTCCAAAAACTAAAATCACAGTCTTGTCTGTGTTCAAAAGAAGAAAATTAAGGGTCATCCATGTTTTTATGTCTTTAAGACATGCTTGTAGTTTAAGTAACTGATTGGATTCATTGGGTTTAATGGACAAATGTAACTATCATCAGCATAACAATGAAAATTTATCTCATGCTGTTTAATAACTGTACCTAATGGAAGCATATATAAAGTAAAGTGTATCTGTCCAAGTACTGATCCCTGAGTAACTCCATGACTAACTTTGGTGTATGCAGAAGATTCATTATTTATATTTACATACTGTAGTCTATCAGATAGATATGATTTAAACCACTTTAGAGTTGTTCCTGTAATTCCAACATCATATTCAAGCCTCTGTAGTAAAATATTGTGATCAACTGTATTAAATGCAGCACTGAGGTCTAACAGGACTAGTATAGACACAAGTCCATTGTCTGAGGCCATGAGAATATAATTTGTGACTTTTACTAGTGCTGTTTCTGTGCTATGATGATCTCTAAACCCTGACTGAAACTCTTCAAACAGATTATTTATTTGTAGATGTTCACGCAACTGACCTGCAACTATTTTCTCTAGAATTTTTTAGATGAAAGTTAGGTTAGATATAGATCTATAATTGGCTAGGATTTCTGAGTCAAGACCAGGTTTCTTAGGTAAAGGTTTAATTACAGCAACATTAAAGTGCTGTGGTTCGTAACCATTCATTAAAGACAAATTAAGTAGATCCAAAATGTGGACATTAATTGGGGGAAATACCTCTTTAAACAGTCTGGTTGAGATGGGATCTAGCAGACATGTGGATGGTTTGGAAGAAGTTATTATATTTGACAATCCAGAGAGCTCAATAGGACAAAAACCGTCCTGACATAAATCAGGTTTCAAGTTGTGTTTATTTGTCATATCCATGTTAACACAAGGTCAACAGTACAAGGAAATGCTTAGGATGAGAAGAACTGACTTGACTCGCTAAAAAAATCAAAGAACAAACAAACAAGAAATACTAAATCATGCAATAAGGGGACAAAAATAAAGGTTCTAGTGACATTTCTAAAGTTGACTTAGACTAGATTAGATTAGGCTAGTTATAGTACTGAACAAAAACCTGGGGTAATTTCTACTTTCATCTATTAAAGGTGAATAATATAAAGTTCTAGCTTTACGGAGAGCTTTCTTACATGCTAGCAGGCTATCTCTCCAAGTTATATAAAATTCTTCCATGTTAGTGAAGCACAATTTTCTTTCCAGCATTTTTGAATTACAGTATGCAACTCAGAATTGAACCAAGAAGTCATTTTCCTCTTATTGATCACTTTCTTTTTCAGCTGAGCAATTTTATCAAGTGAAGTTTGCATTGAAGTTGTAAAAGTATCAACAAGATCATCCAAGTCACTGTTCTCTACCACATTACGCTGCAAAACAGAGGACAAGAACAATGGAAGAGATTTTTTAAATTTGGGTACAGCATTCTCTGATAAACACCTACTATAGTGAAATTTACTCTGAGTGGCTATGTCAGGGGTGGGCAAACTTTTTGACTCATGGGCCACAATGAGTTCTAAAATTGGAGGGAAGGGCCAGACCAGGAACAGATGGATGTAGTGTTTGTGTGATGTTACATCCCAGCACAATAACAGCCGCCGGGACGCTATTAATTATGGGCGATTCCACCTTCTGCACCACTCAAGCAGCCACTAAGTCAGGATTATATGATAGAACAGTGATTTTATTTACAATAGTGAAATCACTGACGGGCAGCACAGTGGCGCAACTGGTAGAGCTGCTGCCTCTCAGCGAGCAGGTCCTTGGTACAAACCCCGGTCCAGGGGCCTTTCTGGGTGGAGTTTGCATGTTCTCTCTGTGCATGCGTGGTTTTTCTCCGGGTACTCCGGTTTCCTCCCACAGACCAAAAACCTGCATGTTAGGCTGATTTGTAACTCTAAAATTGTCCCTAGGTGTGAGTGAGAGAGTGAATGGTTGTTTGTCTCGTTTGTCACTATGTGGCCCTGTGATGGACTTGCGACCCATCCAGGGTGTACCCCGCCCCTCGCACAGTGATTGTTAGACATGGGCACCGGCGACCCCCGTGACCCAAAAATGGGAGAAGCGGGTAAAAGATAATGGTTGGATGGATGGATGAAATTATTGACTTTGTGGAGTCTTACCAACTTCAGGCCAAAACAACAAACAAACAAAAAAAACCCCACTGTATTTTCTCTTACCTGAAGAAAAATAAAATTAACCAAACCACAAGTTTCTTACCTCACTATGCTAATGGAATACAGGAGAAAAGTCAAAATAAAGTGGCAGCTCACCTCTACAAACTCTTCACAAAACTTTTTACAAATACAGGATCATTATTTGAGTACTCTTAAATAGTCCTAATATTAAAGGTCCTATTATTGCACCTTAGCACACAATATAGCAATAACATTTTACCCTTTCAATGTACTTTCAATTTAAATGCTTTAATGTTAACACTAGGAGTTAGTTATTGAAAGAGGCTTATTTTTCATTTTCCAGATCAATACAAATGCAGGTGTTCAGAAATAGTAGAACAATACCATCAGTGACATTTAGTATAGAAAAGTATTAATGTTTGATAATTATTTTTTTCTATAAGCATATTCAAATAAATGCAGCGATCCCCATACAGTAACCTGGAGGCTAGCGCTAGCATGCTAGCTCCAGAAACAAACAAACCAACAAACTCACCAATTCCCACTTTTAGAATACACAGTCAGCTGAAGTTTTTTTCCCCCACAAACAGAGACATCTAAAAGTTAAGAGGCATATCAGTCATAAAGGGCAATATGGGCAATAAATAAAGGGCTTTCAATGGCTTAAAGCCTACCTGCAGCAGCTAGCTTAGCCTCTCTCACACATAGCCTGGTTGTTGTGAGTGTCACTGCACAATCTGTTCTGGAAGCATGATCCATACAATGCGTTCAGCTCTGGGGGCAAGAAAAGTGCGCTCAGAATGGTCCTATTCTCTTGTATAGAAGAGGAGTAACTGTGCATGTACAACTTTTCACGAGAATCTATGGGCAAAAATGTTTGCGCTCCAAGGTAGAAATACGCCAACAATCAGACAATGTCCTTGATGAACAAAACAACTTTACTCATCATTAACTTTAAAATATTTCTCTTACACAACTAAGAAAATACTGAATATACAAATATTTGGAAATATTTTTATTATTTTATTTTTATTTAATTTGTTTATGGTACTTAATCTCTATTTCATAAGTCAAAACCAGATCAAGAGTGTGATGATGAGAATGAGTAGGTTTGTAGACATTTTGGGTATATTCAGTTGACCCTGGGTTGTCAGTCATTTGGAGCACTAATGAAATCGGCCAAATTTCTAGAGAGAACAGCGGCTCCACCCAAACTGGAATGGATGCCACTTCTCCACATCAGACCAGGTTTTCCCCCAAAACACTTCAGTTATATACATAGACCATGTTGTTTTCAGTACACCACCTGGACAACCAGTGGTTGGATGACAACATGCGTCTAAACATGTCATCGCTGGTCAGGTTGGCGAGGGGACCAGAGAAAACTATGGAGTCCAACATAGTTTTTGCGAAGTTACATACCGAAGCAACATTAATTTTAGTGACAGGCTTAATTGGTTGTCATTACTGCCAACGTGAATAACACTCACTGTATTTAGCCTTAGCTAGCAGTTTCAAGTAGGATTCAGCGTCGCCTGCTCTGGTCCCCAGCATACATTGGACTATGGTTGCCGGTGACCCTAGTGCCACGTTTCAAACTATGGAGCTGCCAATGACCAGAGTCTGCTTCTCCGTGGGGGTGTCGCTGAATGAGGAAATTAATTGGAAATATTACCGTGTTGGTGGTAAACTGGGGGCTTAGCCTTAGCCCTACCCTTACTCCGGACTGCCATCCAGCTGGTCTGGGGTCCTGGCTGCTAGGATTCTGCTGGAAGATTCTGATTTAGTTAATCAGATCATTTACTGAACTGTCTATGTTGAAACCCTCACCAATGTCATGAGGAAACGAGCATCTGAAATGAGCTTCCTGTGTAGGGTGGTCGAGCTCAGCCTTAGAGTAAGGCTGAGGAGCTCAGTCATCGGGGGAAACTTGGAGTAAAGCTGCTGCTCCTTCGCATCTAAAGGAGTCAGTTGAAGTGGTTAATCTGATTAGGATGCTTCCTGGACCCCTCTAGAGATTTTCATTACAGTGGGAAGTGGCTATGGGCAAGACCTAAACCTTGCTGGATGTCTGGGTTGATCTTCTCTGGCCTGAGAATGCCTTGGGGTCTACCAGAATGAAAGTGTTACTGGGGAGAAAGAGGTCTGGGTTTCTTTCCTGGACCTATTGTTTTCTCAAGCTGACTATGGCTAAGCGGTAGACGATAGAGATAGAAACAAAAATGTTACTGAACTCAATGATGAGTTGCTCTCACACAGAATGATGTCTGGTAATAAATCTATTCCACAGATTAACTAAATTGAATGAAGAGGTGTTGTATTCATGCAAATGGTTTTATAAACCAAGGGGACAAATTCTTACATAATTTTTTACCATGACCCCAGAGGACTCCATAGCTCTTGAAGTTTTGGAAGATTGCGTTAAGAATGTAGACAGGTGGTATAATACTAGAATTGAAGTCTTTGTCTTCTGCCATTGTTGTGACTTAAAGCCAACACTTTCCAATTTACTTAAATTGCCCTGTTTTATTTTTGGAATCCGAATTTAGCACATCAGTATCAGTAAATCATCTTAAATAAATGACAAACACAAAGAAAAATAGCAGTAAGTGAACAAATTGGCTTTATCTTTTGTTCTGATTTATAACAGTTGAAACAATATGTTTGTGACTGGCTCCATTTGTTCTCAACATGTTTTTCTGTTTTAGGTATAACCACGGTGCTCACCATGTCTACTATCATCACTGGAGTCAATGCCTCCATGCCAAGGGTCTCCTACATCAAGGCTGTGGATATTTACCTGTGGATAAGTTTTGTTTTTGTCTTCCTGTCAGTTATAGAATACGCTGCCGTCAACTATCTGTCTACTCTGCAGGAACGCAAAGAAAGGAAACAGCGAGAGAAGGTTGGTATCATCCTTCGTTTTGAGAAGTGTTTAAACACAAAGAATCTTAAGTCTGGCACAAAACCTGTCATGGTTAATTGTAACAACCCAAGGATGTAGGGTGACTTGAGGACTAGACAAAATAAACAAAACATAATTTACAGTGCCTTGCGAAAGTATTCGGCTCCCTTGAACTTTTCAACATTTTACCACATTTCAGGCTTCAAACATAAAGATATAAAATTTTAATATTTTGTGAAGAATCAACAGCAAGTGGGACACAATCGTGAAGTGGAATGAAATTTATTGGATGTGTCAAACTTTTTTAACAAATAAAAAAATTGAAAAGTGGGACGTGCAATATTATTTGGCCCCTTTACTTTCGGTTCAACAAACTCACTCCAGAAGTTCAGTGAGGATCGATGAATGATCCAGTGTTGTCCCAAATGACTGATGATGATAAATAGAATCCACATGTGTGTAAACAAGTCTCCGTATAAATGCACCTGCTCTGTGATAGTCTCAGGGTTCTGTTAAAAGCGCAGAGAGCATAATGAAGACCAAGGAACACACCAGGCAGGTCCGAGATACTGTTGTGGAGAAGTTTAAAGCCGGATTTGGATACGAAAATATTTCCCAAGCTTTAACTCACTCACTGCTGATGTATGACCAACAACAGCTTCTGGATCTTCGTTTTTCTGTCACCGATGTTGCTTATTTGGAACAATATGAGCATACCTCTGGACCCTCCCCTCCTCCCACCCTGCTGGCGGACGTGCTAGCTTACCTCCGCTGCACTCCTCACCTCCCTGCCCGGAGACATTGCCTCAGACGCTGGGGAAAAAGGGCTGGGCGGCTGGTAAAGCTTAAAGCCCTACGCGCTGCATCATCCTCTTCAGCTGGTGGTCATGGTTTCCATCGCCAGCTTCCCGCATGCCCGGACCAGGTAAACAACGGGAGTTGTCAGCTGGTGTGCAGCTCAGACCGACCCGGAGAGGCTGTTATTGAAAACCTGAGGCCACTGATGCGCACGAACTTCACTGCTGGTGGCTCCACTTTGAACAGTATCCGGATGTGTGTTTGGTCAACGCAAGATCTGTTACCAACAAAACTTTTATCCTCAGGGACTACTTTCAAGAGTACGAGTTGGACTTTTTCTGTATCACAGAGTCTTGAATGTCTCCGGGTGAGTCCAGCGCCTTGACAGAATTATTGCCACCGAACTGTCTGTATTTTAACGCCCCACGGCTATCAGGCCGGCGCGGTGGTAGATTATTAACAATATTCAAACCAACTTTTGACTGTAAACAACTGCCCATCCCAGTTTCCCACGCCAGATTTGAGCTGAGCGTCTTTGAACTCGGCCATTCGCCTCCGATGTTATTTGCACTCGTCTACCGCCCACTTCGATCTAAGGATTTCATAAATGAGTTTTCTGACTTATTGGCTGAAATCACACCAAAATATGATCATGTTTTCGTTATTGGGGACTTTAATTTGCACATGTGCTGTCCTGAGAAGCCCTTGGTTAAGGACTTTTTAGATGTATTGGACTCATTTAATCTAACTCAGCATGTAAATGGTCCCACCCAAGAGCGTGGACATACACTGAACCTTGTTTTAACACGTGATGTGACTGTTAGTGATCTTGAAATTGGTGATAATGTTTTTTCAGACCACATGCCAGTCCGGTTTGAGTTCACCCTCCCCCATCTAACTCCTAAGCCGTGCGTTCCTGCACGTCGCAGCCGGACCATTAACCATTTCACTGCCGCACGTTTCACAGATGTTTATAACTCTGAAATGATAATTCAGCCCCTTGTGTTTCTTACTACCACTGAGGAGCTGACGTCCCAGTTCAACTCTGTCTGCTTAAAGACTCTGGATCATGTTGCGCCTGTTAAAACCAAAAAATCAAAATTTAGAGCAGAACCTTGGCTGAGTGACGTCACCAAGGCCGTTAGACAGCAATTTAGGAGGGCGGAGCGCAAGTGGAGAAAAGACAGGCTGCAGATCTCTTTTCAAATACTTAAAGAGAGTTGGCGCCGTTATCAGAAAGCAGTGAAAGCTGCTAAATCCAAATACTTCTCTGATATAATTACCTCAAACTCTCGCAACCCATGTGTCCTCTTCTCCACCCTAAACTCTGTTCTCCACCTCACTGAACCATCACCTCTGGAAGCCTCGACTGAGTTGTGCGACAACTTCTTACATTTCTTTTTGGAAAAAAATGCGACCACCCCGGCTCTCATTTCCCCTCCAACTCATGACCCATCCATCCCACCTCAATCTGTAGCTCTATTTGACAATTTTGAACCCATCACTCTATCTTGTCTAGAGCAGGTCATGGGCAGCTTGAAATCTTCTGGTTCCCCCTTTGATGTGGTCCCCCCTCAACTACTAAAGGAGGTTTTTCCTACTCTAGGTCCATCCATTCTTACTATAGTAAACAGTAGTTTATCCACTGGCGTGGTGCCAAAATCCTTTAAACATGCTGCTGTCCAGCCTCTCCTGAAAAAACCAAACCTTGACCCCTCAGTCAATTCCAACTACCGGCCTGTCTCCAAACTCCCATTTGTTTCTAAATTATTGGAGAAAATAGTCGAGTCCCAGTTGAAGTGCTTCCGGGAGGGTCACGCCATCTTAGAACTATTCCAATCTGGCTTTAAACCTCTCCATTGCACCGAAACTGCCCTGCTGAAGGTCTTTAATGACATTTTTTTAACCACTGATACCGGTGATTCTGTGCTGCTTGTCCTATTGGACCTCACAGCTGCCTTTGATACCATCGACCATGAGATCCTCATTGCTGGATTGGAGCAGTGGGTGGGCATCACAGGGTCAGCCCTCAATTGGTTCAGATTCTACCTCGCTGACAGATCCTTTTGTGTCTCCATCAAGGACTTTAGTTCTGCAGCAGCAGAGCTTAAATGGGGGTGGGGGGGTGGGGGGGGTGTTCCGCAGGGGTCCATCCTGGGTCCCCTCCTGTTCTCTTTGTACCTGCTGCCTCTTGGTGCTATTTTCCGGAAACACAACATGCCCTTCCACTTCTACGCCGATGACTGTCGAATTTACTTCCCCCTAAGACACAATGGTACATGCTCTATTCAACCTCTGCTCGACTGCCTGGCTGACATCAGGGACTGGATAGCTTTAAACTTCTTAAGTTTCAATGAAAAGAAGTCTGAAGTCATGTTGTTCCCTCCCAATGACACGATCACAAACCACTGCATCGACCTCTCCGCTCTAACCCTGTCAGAAAAACAAAGAGTCACTAATCTGGGAGTGATAATGGACCCTTCCCTGAAACTTAACAATCATGTAAACATGTAAACATGATTGTTAAATCATGTTTCTTCCAACTGAGGCGGCTGTCTAAACTGAAGCCCATATTGTCCAAAAATAACCTGGAGACAGTAATACATGCATTCATTACATCTAGGCTTGATTACTGCAATTCGCTCCTGTTTGGTATCAGTCAAACCTCCATAGTGCGACTACAACTTGTCCAGAATGCAGCAGCCTGATTTTTAACCAGTACAGGCAAAAGAGAGCACATTACACCAGTTTTGGCCTCACTGCACTGGTTACCGGTTCACTTTCAAATCCAGTTCAAAATACTCATGTATGTCTACAAATCACTGAAAAGTTTCGC